AAAAAAAAAAAAACCCCCCCCCCCCCCCCCCAGTTTAAAGGGATACAGTAAGTTCACTTGAGGGTGATCCTTAAAATGTGATAGCATTTTTCTGAAATGTGACAGATTATTTGTTATGCTGCAGCACTGAGCTTCTGTGAAACAGACACAGAACTTTGTTGTTATGCAAAATTACCATAGCAGAACTTCACCTTCAGCCTCCTACATGGTTTCCCTGGGAGAAAAAGCACAGTGAAAGTCACATAATTTCTCTTGACTGGACACAGCATCCTTTTGCTATAGCTGAACTTTATGCACTTGGAAAGTGGACTCCCCTGGGGATCTACCAAGTGTTCCCACAGGCCAGAGTGGGCCTGTGCCAGAGAGGTACCTGCAGTTGCATCCTTAATGCACACAGTATGCTGACAATACCACCTAGGAAGGATGCAAAGTCTGGATCGCCCATTTAAGGTATGTAAATGCATGCATCACCCCAGTTGCACTTGTTCCCTGAAATATTTGTGCCTTCTAAACTGTTCCCTGAAATATTTGTGCCTCCCAACTAACTTCTGTTTCAATGCACCCTATGGTCTGCTCATTGTCATAGCTTTGTCATTTGAGGATTCATCCTTTTAGGAGCTTGATTCTCATCAATATTACATTCTGCCTAGTAAGTCTAACCATCTTAGAAGCAGATAAAGTGATTATTGATGACAGTCAGGACAACTTCAAAATATTTCAGCAGTGTAAGTAGAAAAAATGCATACAAAATTTATATTGGACATTTTTCAAGAGCTATTCAGAACTTGCAAAGCAGAGAAATCTGATGAGCAATAAAACATGATGGTTTTTATATGCTAGCAATTTGACACTTCAACAGAGTCAAAGTTTTGTGAAAAAGTGAAACTTCCTAAAAGTATTATTCACAGCATTTTTTTGCATAAGTGGAAATCTAACATAACAAGTCACTCCTTCTGCGCCATCTTATATTCTCATAAAGTTCAGCCTCCTAGACAAGATTTCCATAGAAATCCTATTCGGTAAAATTTGCTTGACTGAGTTGCAAAAATTGACTCACATTTTACAGCCAAGTGGCAAAAGCTGAAACGAGCTTGACTCTTTCCATCAAAGCCAGTATTAGTCATTCTTCCAGCTTAATGGTTTGCACGCTATTCTTGACAGACAAAACTGGGGCCGCAGGTCAAGAAATGACAATTTAATAGTCACAAAGTATGTGGCCAGATAGCTATTGCTAGTCTGAAGGAAACAACACAGGCTTGGCCAGTGAAACTAAAAGATACTTGACAGCATGACTGCTAAGTTGCTGTAAGAGTAATAAAATCACAGCTCCTGTGTTAGCATAGAAAAATTTGGCCCAAACTGTAAAGCCGTGGTTAAATAAACATCATAAAGGTCCTCCTCACCTGCCACTCTCCAGAGGGCTTAAAACAAGAGTGGCTGGAGGATGCAAGGGCCGAGTGCAATCTGACTGTGAAGACAACAGGATTTGGCTCCCAGTCAGATACTGCTTTCCTCCGCCCTCTCTCCTTCTTCATGTTCTTGCGGGTTCCTCTTTCAAGCCTGCAGACTACCCCACCTCTACCTTTATACTCTTCTGTCCTCCCCAGGTGGCTTTTCTTCACCGCCACATCCTATGGTTGCCTGAGGGAGGACTGGCTTTGCTGAGCCCTCCAACACACATACTTCCCCTCCTGGCCGCTGCTTGAGGCCTCCTGACCTAAAGCAGGCTCAGGACAGGCTGGTCCACTGCCCAAAGACCACCTCGGTGACATGGCTGGAAAGGCTGAATTGAGAAATGGGTCCACTCTGAGATGCTGAATTCGCTCATGCCCTGCTTCTCCATGGCCTTCCAGAGTTGAAGGCAAGGCAACTTCTTAGCATGGCTCTGCCCACAGGCACAGACCGGTTCCTAAGTGACAGTGCAGCAAAGATCGTCCCTCCTAAAAGTAGGCTCCTGGCAGGGAAGGCAAGTTTCCTTACAGAAAACCACCAGCAACTTTCTGCCAGTAACATTCAGATCCAGCTATGATTCACAGACATCGTGGAGAAGCTCACAAAACTCACCACTATCACTGCTATTTGCTCCTGACATTTCCCCTGCCTCCTCTGAGTGTCTCTCATGGCCCTGCTAATCTCACAAGGGTCAGAATTACTGTTTGGACAGTGACTCAATACGAGTCTCAACTCAGCAGAGTACCAAGGAAAAGAGAAGCCCTATGGGATCAAATCCTTCTTTGTTTATAGGCCTTGCTGCTCATAATTTATTTTCTGCATTCTGTTGTGGCATGTGCTGACATAAAATTAATCCAAAATCTCTGGCTGTTCCAGGGACTGCTCACAATCCCTCATCCAGCTCAAATCTGTGCAACACCTTTAACCTCCAGAGAAAACAACGGAAGCATCTCTGTGCTTGGCATTGGTGAAATATCAGGCCATTCATTCTTTTGCTTAAATTACGAATCTAATTTCAACCATTTTCCTCCAGACAGGATGCAAAAAACAAGACAAAAAGCAATTTACCTCTACTTCACAGGCATATTCTGATCCATCCAGGAGTGTCACTTTGCACTGCATATTTTTCGGTTTCTTGACGATCTTTAGAGGAGACTTGGAAAGTTTGCTAGATGATGATTTTTGAGAGAGCTTGTCGTCCTCTAGCTGCTGGTATTCCAGCTGTTTGGCACTCGCAGCAGCAAACTCCTGTTCTTTGTCTGTGGGCTATAAAGAGAAAGAAAGATACTTTTTGAAGGGAGATGAACCAATCACACCATGCAAAACACTACGCACCCTGCACCCAAGCATTTAAGTGACCATAGTGTGGGGCTTGTATGAGAAAGCCCCTGATGCAGGACAGAGTCTTCCTTACCTATTGAAAAGATTTCCCACATTGCCCATGTTCCCCCCAGCCCTCTCTTCTCACCTCAAAAGGTACAGAGTACCTGTGGAGGAGGGGCATGCATGAACATACTTTAGGCTTCCACTTTTTCCATAGGTACAAAATCCCTCTTGGACTTCTTCGACCTGTTTTTTTTGGTCTGTTGGAAATGCTGAGTAATTGGTAAACATTGTGATGAACAGATATTCCTACAGTTTGTTGATATTACTTTTAAGCCCTGTACCTATTAAATCATATGATGCTTCCGTGGTGTCACACGGAACAGGAAAAGACCATCAGGTTTGCACTAATTTTGCTGTCAGTGAGAAAACAGTCCCCTGAATAAGGGCACAGATCCACCGTGACAGTGTGAATTCGCAGGGGGATGCTGACATGCCTGGGAGAGTGAAAGGCTCCCCAAGTGCCTGAGCAAAGGGTTAAACAAACAGGGTGGAACTGAGGGGCCAAACAACTTTTATGTGCAGCTGGCTGGCTAATGGATAGTAAGTACAGTTTGAGAGGCTGAATTTTGCTCTCTGCAGATGCCCAATAAGTCCCTCAAGCTGGCAAGGAACAGGTGCTATTTGAAAGACAAATATACTGCAGGGAAAAGGGGCAAGAAGAAACAACTTCGAGTTACTTTTGCATGGGTTTATCCGAGGGTCAGACCATTTGAAGAGTTACTGTGATGCAGCCCAGCCCCTGGTCCTCTCCATGGCACTAGATGAAAGCAGAACAGCTCTGCAGCATTTCACCCTTCCTAGCAACAGCACTGTGCCACAGTCATTACCTTTCTCATCAGTTATGCCCCTGACAGTGTCCAAACAAAATCTCAACAGGACTGCAGTAATTCCTAAGCTAAACTTTAAGTAAAATAAGATAAAACTAACACCTTTCTGTTATCTCACTACAAGGAAAAAAAAAACCAAACCTGTTTTGGCTCTGAACAATTTCAGTGTAATAACCAAAAAGCTTTGCTGGAAATATATTGTAAATTAATCCTCCAAGTCTGTTTCCATTCATTGTATATAATAAACCTTCATGAGAATGGAGCAAATCCATCCAAAGGCTTTAATCTGCTTTGAGACTAGAACAACCTTGTGTCCTATAACCAGCAACAACAACGTACCACTAAATCACAGGGAACTTGCCTCAAAAGACTCCATACAAACAAGCCATAAGCTTGCCCTCTGCCTTTGGGTGAATGGGGGAAAAGAGGAATTTGGAATCATCTCTGCTACCAACAGCGCCAGCTCCTACCAAAGCCCCAGCAACCTGCGAAGAGGCAACTGCAAAGAGGTGAGGCAAGACCCATGCTCCTCCTTTCCCTGAGAGAGAGGACACAGCAAAGGTCTCCTGGGCTTCCCTGGGTGGGGAGACTAGAAGAAAGTGGGTCTAGCTAGTCAAAAAAGCAACACAAAAGCTGCTTTCAAAATCCACCTCATCCCCTGAGTCGTGGATGTTCTTCCCCAGGAGCAGCCCAGCGCCAGCCAGCTCTTCCCCCATCTAGCTCCAGCACTGGAGGACTTTCTCCTTCTGGCACTTGGACACCAGCTCTGTGTCTGGATCTCAAGGTCCTCACATACCTTGAAGGCTGGCAGGAGATGAAGGCACAGCATATGTCAGTGGATTAGCCGTTCGCTAAGCACTTAACGCTCACCGTAGCTGTGATGAAGGGGGAGAGTCGCCCCCAGGCTCACAGCAAGGCTTGAGGCCAGCTACCCCTCTACCACAACAGCGGCCAGCTGGCAAGTGGTTCAACCTACTGCACCAAGAGAAAAACAAGACTGAAGATGTCTCCTCCTAGGGCCTCTGTGAAGAGCTGCGCTGCTGCTGATGGGCAGAGGGACTCTTTGATGATTTCCATGCGTTTTGTTAAAGAAATCTGCCAGGGAAAGTGCACATGCACATGTGTAGGTGGCAGAAGTGGAAGAAATAAACTCTCATTGCCAGTGGCTCATTAGATTTTCCATGTAAAAGTTAACATGCTGCCCCAAGAAAAAGCAACCAACAAAAAACCCCCAGAGGCATGGAATTAATCTTTTTAAAGAAAACAGGAAAGCTGCTTGAGAGAAAAGCCCACAACAAGGGCACCCAGCAGCCATTTAAATTTTAGAAGGAGCTTCAGCCTATAAAAACATTCTATGAATCCTTACGGATTGGTGATTATTTTCCTTCAAACAAAGACGCCTGGTAACTCAAGACTACAGCAGAAATGTGCTTATTTATAATTTTTTTTTTAAATGGTATTGAGGTTATTTTGTTAAGGTTCCTGTCTATATTAAGATCAGGGGAATGTGTCTAGGTTAAAATAATACAAAAGATTTTCTCTCGTTTGTCTAGAGAACAAAACATGCCAAGAACTATTAGAGAAGATCCGTCAAACTATGCTGACATGTTCAGGCATTGAGGTACTTTCAGACTGTATTAAGTCTCTTTTTCCTAAAGAAACATGACATCCTGGTATCTAGGGGAGGGGAAAAAAAAAAAAAGGCCAGTGAAAAAACCATGTACTCAGTGAATTATTTTGAACTCTGCAAGCATAGTTGCATTTTCTCCTAAATTCTTCCCCAAGATACCTCTATGCTGTATTTCTGCAGTATTTTCAGTGTCACGGACTCAATTTTAGTGCACCACAAGTTGCTTCAGCGTTTGTGGTTTTTGAACATAAGCTGTCTATCTATATTACTGTACCTTACTATGACACAGTATGTTCAAGCCCTTCTGAAGGTAGACCCCCCCTCTTGAAGCAAGCCTGTGGAGTCACAGGATTCAGAAGTAACGACCTTTGACACTTCACAGCTTCTCACTGGAGTATGAAGCAATATTACCAAGCTTGCACAACATATGAACCCCATCTACTTATGATAGTTGCTCATAAATGTCAGTGCCCAACCTGTGTGACGCCTTCTTGCTCATTTTCAATGAGATAGGAAGGCAGGAAGATAGTAAGATTGCATTATTATACCTGATAGAAAGGACTAATTTCTGTAGTAACTGCTAATCTCAACATGAAAAAGCCTTTTTGTCTTCATTAAAATGTTCTTTTTTATGTGTATAGGATGACAACAAAAAGTTACTGTCATGGATCGGTAACTTAAATCTTTCTTCCCAAGGTTCTCTCATACGAGCAATAGCAAAAACCATCAACTTCCTCACTGCGATTACAGATGGCAAGAGAGAGAATGATACCCATTACTCCTTCAGTTTTGGGCTTTTTTAATGACACCATTGCCATTAGCTCTGTCTCTTAGTGCTGCATTTAAGTGGTTCTTTCCTGTGATACAGACACCTAAGCCACTACAAAATATACTGGGCAGATCACTGCAGCTGGATTCAGCAATCAGCTTACAACAGGGACTTTCGGATTCAATCTGGTAATCTCAATGGGAAGGTCTTGCACATCCCTTTGCTAACCCAGTTCTTTTATCAAGGCTTCTACAGATACCAGCTCACAGGTAATCTTCTTTGGAAAAGGAAGGGATCACAGACCACACAACAGCATCTCAGGTCTCCAAACTATGCCTCCGTAAACACAGGTGGACAGGCTTGGTGCCTAAGGGTTTTGGGGTTTTTTATAGTTACTCTGGGGTTTGTTTTCATTTGGTTTTTTTAACATTAAAAGAAACTTGGGGCAGAAAGATTACTGAAGAAGTCTGGAAGAACAAAATTAGTAATACCTATGCCTAGGCCTGATAGAATTACACTTTAATGACCAGTTTATGCAGTACCTTTCTCTTTTGGACAAGCAGCCCTGCCTCTTCTCCCCAAACTAATTACATGCAATTTCCAATCTATTTCGGAGACCAAAATTGTCCCAACATCAGTGGATGTGCGAGCAAGAGCAGAGAGGTCTTTGGTGGGCATGGAGCGAGGCTGATCAAGGGTTATCAATGGTAAAAATAGTCAGCAACGAAAAAAAATAAGCAGTTCTTCCAATGGTTGATCTTCAGGAGCGATAAACACCAGAAATCCTGCCCTGCCATGTCTACCTCTTGAGGTATTAGAAGTCAGACATAAGACACCTCTTTTAATTTGGTCCCAGAAATATTTGTTGTCCCAAGCAGTTAGGTAATGCTTCCCTAAATGAGGGAGATACAAAAATACTTTGTATCTGAAATCGCTTACACCCTCATTTTATCCCCACCAACAGCAAGTTTGGGCTGTAGCTCTCTGGACAAAAGCTTAAAACCCAAGACCACAACTAGCCCCAAACAGCTTCTACAGAAGCACTCATGGTGACTTTAAGTAATGCCTTACATCTGCTTGCTTCACCAGCACTGACTCCCAACTAGGTAAAATAACAGGACCCCACTTCACACAATCTGAATTTTTTAAAGGGTGGAGGAGACGAGTACTTAGACTGACTTATTCCACTCTTCAAAGGTGAATGTCATCAGATGGGGGTCGTAACCTTACGGAGCTAAGGGATGTGATTTGCAGGTACCTCATTAATTGTGTGTCACTTAACCATGAAGAACAATGTCTGTTAATCCTATTGACTGGAAATTATTAACGGGAAAAAGAAAGCAGCTTCCACAAATTTAATAAGCGCAACAATGAACCAAATGGAAAAGCATGTGATAGCTCTTCTGAAACCTATTACATGAATAGTTAAAGTAATTATAATGCAGCCATTTCAGAACTATGAGAAGTTTAAGGGACCACAGATTCTTCATGGCTCACACATCAGACAGGCAAGCAGGAAATCAGTTTTTGGCAGGTGTCAAAGAAGAAATGAACTCTGAAAACATTTTCAGCTTCTTAAAAATTAGCACTGTTTGCTATTTAATGCAAATGCAATATTGAAGATGTTTCCTGCTTAGTTAATAAGACTGCCCTTATATTGAAGCACTGGAGGCAGAAAGACCTGATGTTAATTTCAAAACATTCTGCTTGAAAACTATTATTTTTTTAAATGCAGAAGACCAACCAGTCAAGATCTACAGCATCACACCAAACAGCCTTCCATGCGTATCGGAATATGTATTTCTGCTCCTAACACACCAGGCTCATTATTTCCCAGGAGCAATAAGTGGGCATGTAGCTAGTTGCGTGCAGCGAGCGTGCGTGCATGGGGTCCCTTACCTCCTCCTTTTTCACCGGTGTGCTGTGGGCTGCCACAGCCGAGAACTGCTCAAGCGCGTTTTGATGCTCTTCGCTCAGCTGCTGCTGCTGCTGATCCTGTGGCTGGGTCTCCACTGCCCCTTCCTGCGCAGGGCCCTCCTGCTGATCCTGCTCTTTATCCTTGGACTCAGAGTCCGACCCCGATTCTGTAGTCATGGTTGGTTATTCTGTAAAACAAGGCGTGCAGACGTACTGAGTATGATCTTGTAGCTGTGAATTTGTAAGCTAGGCTTACAAAATGGAGAAACATGAGGCGCAAGGTTTTAGTCTTTAGCCTTTAAAACTAAAGTGGCTATTACACTGGCCCAACAAGGGTCCCTAGGAAAGCTTCCCTGGTGCAAAAGAGCAGGTCTAAATGCATCCGTACTCTAAGGAAGAGCATGTTGCCATAAAATCTTATTCTACATTATAATGTACAGACATTATAGAACTTATGTTCAAGTTAAATTCAGACGTACAGTTCTACATAGTTCATAATTCATAAAAGGAGAGCAACACTTTGAGAAAAGCTTGTGTGATTGAGGGCCCTATATCCAACACAATTCACTGCAGTTTGGGTTTCTAAACCATGTGGAAACTTTTGAAAACATTACAACTTTTGTTCTTTACATTGAAATCCATGGGGCTTGAACTCCTTAACACCTGCACTCCCTTCTGCAAATGGACTCAAGTACTTTTGATGCTGCCAGGCAACATATACACTAGAAACATCTGAACTGGGCCCACCAGTATCAGTGGAAATGTACAACTGCCCTTAAGCTCAGTTCTGTCCTTCCTGCTTGAATTCAACCCACACTTCTGCTATTTCTTTCTAAGTGCTAGAGCATCCAAAAGAAAATATAAATACTTCCATTAAGTCATTCTAAGTGTTAGATTTTAAAAAAAGTGAATATGACTTTCCTTGAATGTGAAAAGTCTATGTTTTAACTTAACTTTGTCCAGTACTAAATCAAAATGAAAACATTAGCAATAGTCATTCAAAATCTTAACTATTTTGATTAAATAATTTTGTTACAAGTATGTGGTTGGCACCCAATTCTCAAACTACATACAAGTAAAACCCAGCTTTAAAAAAATACTGTGATTTTGTATCAAAACAAGGATTTGAAAAGCAGACTCTGTGCCAGTTCAGCAGAGTGTGCTCTCATGTTTGTTACTCATAGATTCTTAGTCTTTGTGATCTTATTCTTGAGCATTTTGCTTTTAAGCAACTCAAACCAGTCTGCTGCAATCTATTTCTGTTCATCATCAGGCCATGATTTCTTTAACCTGGTAACCATAGCTACTATGAAATTACGAGCAGTTCCACAGAGTATACATCTGCTAATTCATCTGCTAGGAAGTCACTATCAACTCAACATACACTACAATGTTTACTAGTAGAAGCAGGTTTATTAATGATCACAAAGAAAGTACAGGGCTTTTTTTTTTTTTACTGAAATGTTTAATAAGCTACATTGCTTGACAGAAAATGTTTTAAATGAGGCCAATTACTATTTTCAAACTCATTTATGTATTCTGCACTTTTAAGGCTAAGTTCTCCAGTGAATACACGTCTCCGTACAGCAAGCAAGTGCACAGCATTCAGCCTGTGCTCAGTTTTTGCACTGTGTGTGAGGCTGGGGGCGCACATTCCCACCTCCTGCACGCCAAAACAGCACAAGCACAAGAGAGAAGCAGAACTAGAAAGTCTATATGGCATATTTATGCTTCAGGCCATGTTTTCAAAGTACTAACGTGTGACATGCTTGTTTAGGAAAACATCATAAATTTCGACACTCAAACTGTCACAGTTATATCAAAAATACCTTTTAAAATGCATTGTTTAAGAAATTGTCTTTAGCATCTACAAAAAGCACTAATTAACTCATGTCTTTTAAAATGTGACAGTCGGAAAGGCATTCATCTTATCAAACTTCAGATGTCCACATCTGAGATGGTCACTTTAAACGTGGAGGAGAAAACCAGATGTTTCAGAGAGCGATTCATCTGACCTATTATAGATGCCTGCTTTAAGCTGAGATAAATCACATACTAGCAGGACTTCGTCTGACTCACTACAAAGGAAGCCTAAACAAGTTCCTCTGATATAGATCAAACCAACCCATATGCCATTTTCAATTCTATTAACTTTTTTGTACACTTTAAAAATTAAATTGCAGAACAATGTTAATCTCCCAGAGTTTTGTTTTGCCCATCTGTCAGATCAACATGGAATAAACTGTTTTTCATCTGATGCTATTATGGTTGCCTTGCTTTAAAAGCACCCAGGTCTCCACAAACTTCACAAGTTTTCCCCCCACTTTCAAACCATGTTTTGCACAAGTGTATGAAGATATGAAATGCAAATTAATCAAATAATTAACTCAATAAAATTAAACTATGTATTTGATTTTCTTTTCCAGAAACTATGAATTAGGATGTAGAAAAAACTTACAGCTACAAAAATCATTGATCAAAGAACACCAAACAGCAGAGATGACCAATACGAAGTGTAATGTACGTAAGCTGTAGTACAAAGTCTTTTTTTGCCCCTCTTGATATGAGTTAGAGCAGTGTAAAATGGAAAGAAACTATCATACATGCTGTTTGGAAACAGTCACCCCAAGTATCTTGAGGCATTGATCTATGTAAGATCAGACTGCCAGTCGATATGAATCAAAAGTCTGTCTTCCTTCAGCTGCCATGACTGCGTCTCTGGAAGCTCATTTTTGCACCCTATATAGCTTCTTTCCTAATGAACATTCATATCCTGGCTGTTCATGAGCATAGAAACACAGGCATTTAAATTAGCCCCATAAACACAACTTCATGTAGCATGAGATGAAAACAAGTTTTACTTTTCTTGCCAGTTATAATTTTGCATGTCAAGGAACAATAAACATAGTTCTTAGCTTCTCCTGGGACATTCTCACATCAAGCAGAGCCTTACAATACTGTGAGTTACTCTCTGGGACTGTTTTTCTCTCCAGTTACACGACTCCTCGCTTGTTCTAAGAGTGCTTTGTTAGAAAACTTTTTGTGCGTTATCAAATCTTTTAGCATAAGTGATTCCCTGGATACAATATTCCTGTCATTAGTCAGACAGCAGATGGATTTAATTAACCCAAGGTTACCCATTTCCAAATGTCTTCTTTATTTCCCTACACATACTAATACGTTTAATAACAAATACTGAGAACAAAATACTATTGATTTCACGCTGTTATCTTGCAGATGTAAATAGAAGCAAAGCAAACACTTTTTGAATCCAATTTCTTATAAACTTCTCAGATGATTGTACTGTTAAAGATTTACCTCATTACATCTAGTACAGGTTGAAAATACCTAAATCACAAGACAGAAAACAACATTTCTCTCACTGCAAACCACCAGGTTGTTCTGCCTTCCTCAGCAAACAGCTACATATCCAAATGAACTTTGAAAGCATTTCATTTTTTATAAATGGCACAACAATCCTCATAGAAAGAGGTTAGTTTCACTTATTGGAAGAAGTAAGTCTTAAGAAATTTAACAACATAAATATTACTCTACCTTTGTTTGTACGCAGCAAACCTGACAGAATAGTTAGTAGTGTCTACACATTTGTCAAACACATGTAATTGGCTGAGAATTTCTCATTCTTATTTTATTAGTTTATTTACTATACCTGGCTATGTACCAAAATCATGACTACTAATGTGAATTTCAGTACAGGAAGAAAGAAATCACTGAAGTTCCTTAAACTTTTTCTGTTGCCAGCACAACCCCCATATCAAATTCCCCTTTCCAGCAAACAAAAAACAAACTAATGAAAAGAAACTAAGAGCACTACCTTATACAAATGAGGTAATACTATGCAATCCAGATGTGCTCTTGGATAGCTAAGTTTTGGCTTACAACCCAATATTCAAAGATTCCAAAAGATTAGCTGAGTCCAAACTTAACACAGATGCTGCTAATACTGGATATTCTAAGGCTAAAGTAAATTTGGCTACAGAATTCCATCAGAACAAAAATTGAGTCTTCTGATTAAAGGGAAAAAAAAACCCAACCAAGAACTAGCTTATTTTAATCCACTACTTAAAAATTAAGTTAAAAATGTATGTACTTTCAGCATTGTAAAGGTTTAAAATGTGTTTGAGAGCGCTGAGAAGAACAATTAAGGGAAGATAAAAATTAATATACTATCAAGGTATTAAAACACAACTTCAAAAAAACTACATGATGTTTTAAAATAATTATTAGATCAAATCACAGAAAATAAATCTTTCCATACACTTACACCATACAAAGCAAAGTCATTACATATGGATTGCAAAACCTGCAAACCACTTGCACAAAGAGTCCACATTCTAAAACCTTCCAACAGACCTAGTCCTTGTTACCTACAGCTACTGGCATATCGCAGCTTGGGAGATTACCATTTCTATTGCCAATTACCTGCTATGGACTTAAAGCACGTAATTTCTTTTTCTCCATATGAGAACCAAAATCATGTTGTCCTCTATTAATAATTGTCTGAGCAGGCAAAGCCCAGGCTATGTCACCTGGTCCCCTCCAGCAAGCGACAGTCACAATCGACTGTAAATATTCATATATTCAACAAGTTATTTGACTCCTTGCCTCCCATTCTCAGAGCACAGACCTTCTGGGTTGCATCTTCTGAGCAACAAAATTCACAGCTAATTGACAGCAGAGTCCACAGTTTAATTAACACAGCAGTCATCGATAAACCTTTATTTATATATAAATACATGCTAGTAAAAATACCTGCTATATTAAGTAAATGGAAGTCACATTACAGAAGAAATTGCAAATTAAGTCCGAATAAATTGTGATGTAATGACAAAACAAAATTGAACCAAGTAATTAAATGAACTATACATAGCCACTATTTCCTGTAACACAGAGATTAATGGTTTACATTTAACTGCTTCTTTGATCTAATTAATTCTCTTTGTGGAGAGTTCTCCTTTAATTACAATAATTTCTTAAGATTGTCACAAATCATTGCAAAGGTCCACATTTGGAAGTTATGTAACAAAATAATGATTCCATACTTCAAAAATAATGTTCTGCCTAATGAGAGACATATTTATCCAATAATGATGAGATGCTGATGAGAAGAGCATATGGAGAACAATATTGCCGCTATGAGCAGTAACAGAAATGTC